GCTATGAGTGGGTTATGGTTGTAAAGCTGGAGTGATGTTTTGCAGTTGACGTATCGAAGCGTGACCATTTGGGTTCGCAGCTCCACCTCGGCCCTGGGCAGCTTGCAGGGTCCAGCATGCCGTCACTTCCGCAAAAGTAATCTACGCATCTGGGCGACACCAAACACCCCACTACCTGCTATCATGACTTTGATAGACGCATTAGTTCATGCCTTCATAATCGTCCACATATTTCCATCACCATACTAACGATAATGTCTTCGCTAACCCTAGACTCAATGGCTTGTTGCCAAGCGCCGTATACGGTGCGGCTGATGCTCATCTGCGGTAACGAGCTTTGTGCGCTGCAGTGTGGTGCCTCTGTAACGACAAGAGAGCGTCTTATGCTCGCTATAGAGTTCACTGATATCGCGCTGTAGGCCATGTCGCAGTACAACTCGATGCCGTCCCCGGGGGTTTACGTTCCCCCATCCCAAGGTTCCCCAGCGCAATCGCAAGGCGTCCAGCAGCCCTCGAGCTATCAGCCCAATGCCACGAACTATGGAGCACAATATCAGTCTCAGAAGGGAGGAGGCACGTTTGGCCAAATGATGAATCAGCGGCTTGAGCAGGCGGTTACGACAGGAAAGCCAATGTTGAACAAGCTGGGCAAGACTATAAGCTCAAAGCTAGGGAACAAGCCTTCGGGAGGCCCGCCGCAGCATCTCCAGAGCTATCAGAGTTACCAGACTCACTTTGGGCAGCAGGGCCAGAATCAACCATACCAGCATCCTCAGGGTCAAGCTTTCAGCCCTCAGTCGCAACAGCAGCAGTGGACACCACCGCAGCAGCAACCCCCACCTCAAGCGCCGAATGCCTACCCACCTTCGCAGCAGTCTCCGTACCAGCAACCCAGTTACTCTACACCCGCTTCCGGCCACTCGGGGCAGACCAACTACTTCCCACCGCAAACCACCCAAGCGCCCAATACACAGTCTCATACGCCGCAGTCGCCGTTCACGACCGCAGGACATACTTCATGGCAATACGGCCAAGGCGGCGGGATAGCGGAGCATACACAGACACACGGATACAATGGGCAGAATCAGGCGCCACCGGGTCAGCCTCAGGCGCCTGTCCCGCAACCGACACAGGAATCTGGCCAATATACTGGACAGCAGATGGGAGTAGTGGGAGACTACAATGCTGTGCAGCATACACCACCACCCCACACTTCGACTATGTCTCCAGGGATACCCGCCCAGCCCATGCAGCCACAATGGGAACAGGCTACCGGGCAGCAGTCGGGTTCCCCAACAAGTTCCATACAGCAGAACACCACTGCGGCAAGTCCACCACCTCATTCACAGCACCAGTGGAATAGCCCGTCTCCAGGTGGTGCATACAGCCAAGGACAGTCGCAGGTGCCCGCCCACTCCGTCAGCCCTCCGACTACACAGCCGATGACTACGGCGCTCCAAGTGCCGTCAAACAAGCCTGTACCGTCAAGTCAGTCGTCAACGCCCGGACCGCATCAGTCTCGATATTCTGCGCCACACGAGTTCATTGCGGAGCTTCCTGCAGATCTTGGAAACTTGACTATTGCAGAATCGAAGCCGAAGGAACAAGAATCATCGGTCTCAGGCTCGCAATATCAAGCCTTCCACCCTTCGCTATCTCCGACTGGATCGCCATCGCCTGGCTTTACCATTCCTCGGCGGTCGTTTAGTGTCAGCACGATTCCACTGGCTGATCCGTGGAGGTTTGCAGATGCGGTCACTGAAGTTCCAACACGCGAGTTCTATATTCTGGCCGATTTGCTTTTCGACGCTCTGGACCGGAAGTTTGAGCCAAAGAACACGGGCCTTCTAGAAGCACCAAAGATCATCGGAAGCTGGGTGAAATTGACCGAAGACGCGTGTCGTGAGTGTCTGAAATGCCGACAGATGATGCAAGACTAATGTGAAGTCAGGTCTTTTTTCCTACAGGTCCTATAGCGCTTTCGCAAAGCTGTGGAGTCTCGAGGGAATCCCCCACATCATGGTGCCCTGCCAATCCAACCTGACACCAAACTGGAACTTTAATCAACATTCGCATGCGCAAGATGCAAAAGTAATCGCTGATGCGCCAACGCCCATGACGGTGTACACGACCTACATGCCAGCTCTGAACCGGGCGGGATGGTACAAATTCTTCTTTCTTGAGATGATGCACGCGCCAGAAGATATCGGTGATTTGATGGCACTGTGCGCAGACACGTATAAGCCGGGGGTGCTGAACCATCCCGACCTCAACAAGCGGGACAAAACAGAAATGCCAGCACTGCAGGCCAGAGCTGCAGAAATCCAGACATTTGCAATCGGGCGCGTGTGTGAGGAGACGAAGGCTGCGATGGCAGTCGACCCCGATGTTCTTCCGGCGCACACGCACTCTACCGCACCTACCTCGGGACCCACGCAGACTGGGGCAGGTATGACGCCACAAGACATGACGGTGAGAGTGCACAAGATCCAGGCAGAGCGGCAGTTGAATGACATGGCAGCCTGGAAGTGGTAGGTTTGCAGGCGAGAGGTTATGGGGAAGGCAGTTTCGTGTAGAATGGGCAAACACAATGCGATGACAGCAATGCCGTGTAACCGTAAACGCTGCGCTGGCCATGGTGCGACGGAATTGAATGCCGATGGCGATGTTTGCCCAGATCTTGTGCTCGAGTGCCCAGAGGGCTAGCAAATTAGTGGGCAGGCGTTGACAGGCGCAAGTTCCAACGTCGGCGCGGGTACCTGCCTTGGTGCCGGTGGCGGTGTGGGTGTAGAAGGCGCTGTCGCACGCACACGATGCGCTTTCCTGTGTCTCTACCATGCCCTACGTGGACGGCCGTGGCTCTCGTATTGTTCCCCAGGAGTTCTACGGGCGTCATCCCTATAGGGTGCATGGTCGGCCATGTTTCATCTCGGCAAGCGGTTATGATCTCAACGATAAACATGCAATCTACGCATTGACGTCCACGCGTTGGGCCTTGCCCGATTGAGCGTCGATCTGCAGGTACACCTTGCTTGTTGCGCCTTGGGCCTTGCTTTGTGTGGAAGTCGCGCGAGGGTTGCACCAACAAATAATTCTGGCCGGCCTCGCGTCCAGCCTCTTATCTTGCACCCTCCCATCGCCGCTCTTCTGCTATTCTTCACGACTTTGACGCTGCAAGCCCATATCACGAGTATCTTCTATCCCGCACTCTTCATATCATCACGAGTAATACGATACGACACTCCTATACTTGTGGGTCTTAGCTTGTCAGGGATCCTCGACCGTCACCATGCGCACTTCCACCATCCTCGCTCCGCTTTTCCTCGCGGCCACTGGCCTCGCCCAGGCCGTCGAGGAGGGCATTGCTCCCGATGCCTCTGCGCCCGAGGGCTGCAAGACGACTGTTACGACGCCCTTCCGAATTGGCACACTCGAGAACCCCAGTCTCAGGAGGCGCGAAACTGCTCAAGAGGTATGTGCTCCCCTGGACTCTTACTCATAACATCGTACTAACACCATCACCAGGCATCTGACGGCGACCTCCTCTGCACTCTCGAAGACGGTATCCTCCACGACCAATACGGCCGCACCGGCTCCATCGTCGCCAACCAACAGTTCCAGTTCGATGGCCCTCCCCAGGCAGGCGCAATCTACACAGGCGGCTTCTCAGTGTGCGGCAACGACTCGCTCGCCATAGGAGGCAGCACCCGCTGGTGGCGCTGCATGAGCGGTGCTTTCGGCAACCTGTACGACTCGTGGATTGGCGACCAGTGCCACGAGATCCGCATCCAGGCTCTCTTCGACGAGACTGCCTCAAGCATGAGCAGCGACATGAGCATGTCGATGAGCAGCACCACCTCGAGTGCCCTGTCCGGATCTACTAGCATCATCTCCGCCAGCGAGACCAGCGGCCTCACCAGCGAGAGCAGGAGCATGCACTCCATGTCAACCGGCTCTGCTTTCTCCTCTGCCACACCCTTCTCCAACAGCGCGACTGCCACTGGCTCTGAGGGTGCCGAGGCCAGCGAGACTGGTGACGCCGCCGCTCCCCCCGCCGACGGTGCCGCTTCGTCCATCTCCATGGCTCCTTTCGCCATGGTCGGCGCGTCCATGGTCTTCCTCGGCGCTGCTCTCATTCTCTGAGCATGGCATTACACCACCGCGTTACTTCGAGAAACTTCTTCTTATTCCCGCGCATGGCATGTCAGGCTTCACATTACCCCTGCATGTCCACCGCCTCGCCTCGCATTGCATTACTTCCACCGCATGTCTTCCCTGCATTAGCGAGCATGTCGCCCGGCGCTTGTTGTTACTCTTCATGTTGATAGCTTGCGAGCGCAATGATTCGATGAGCTAGCTTTGGCGCATTTTTTTGTTTATTATGGTTTGATGCAGCGCATGGTGTTTTGAGATATACACATTACGCATTCGGCATACCGAGCTTGGGATAGATTCCAGGCCTTAATCATAATACTTTGGAACACTTCATCTTCAGATTGCTGGTTGATTGTGATGTTGTGTGATGCTGGATCCTTAAACATATAAGTAGTGTGACGGAGGTGTTGTCACATACACATCACCCTCGTAATACACTGGGCGTACTAAAGCATTATCGAAAGGTATAGATGGCTTTATGGCTTGGCATCCTATACGGTTGGTAAGACAAACAACAACGTATGCCTCGATTAAGAGTACAGAATACGGATTGAGAATACCTGATCTCCTTGTAAGGATCTGAACTAACACAGATGCTTCTCTTGATCGTAGTACCATCGCATTATTCTGTGTCTACGAAGAATATAGAGGCCATAGCCTCGAGCTGGAAACCTCGAAACACTATTCAAACAATCGGCAAAATATTAAAAGTATATCTCGTCCACCGAAGATCACTCTCACATCGAAAGAAGATAAATCATCCATCATGCCAGCCCGCCCGCAGACCCATTCCATCCCACATCTCAATCCTGCCATTAGATCCCGTCCCATCATCTGCCACCATCTCAAAAATCACTCCCCAGCTCATCAAAGCTATCATCCGGCACAGCCATCGCCACATTACTACTCTCCAACAACCCCCTCACCCTCTCCACCACATCCCTCTGCCCCCGCCACTTCTCCACCATGCCCTCAATCTTACTCCTCAGCTCATCACTCCACGCGACAGGGTTCCTCGGTATATTCTTCGCATTGCGAATCACAGCCGGCAGCAGGATATTCGTCTGGAAACCAGGCATGTTCATGTAGGATTTGAATTCAGAGTATGTTTCGTCTAGGTCGCGGAGGGCGGACTCCATGGTTTGGTAGGAGGAGTGGAGGGTGTGGAGGTAGGTGAGTTGGGAGGAGGTGAGGGAGGCGGCGCGGCGGAGCAGGAGGAGTGTGGTTATGGCGTCGTTTTCGGTGGGCGTGAGGCTTAGGGGTGTGTGTTTGGGGGATGGGGCGCTGGCCCAGAGGGGTGGGAGGAGGCGCATGTGCCAGAGGATGCGGCTGTCGTCTTTACTGTCGGTGAGGGAGCGCATCAGGTGGGTGCGGCGGACGGAGCGGAGGCAGTCTTCGTGGTGGGAGAAGGTGTAGGGTGAGTCGGTTTTCTGGGTCGTGGTTGTTAGCATGTTCATGCGAGCTGTTTCGAAAGCAGACCTACTTGTTCTAGTAGTAGCCGGTATTGTCGTTCTGTCTTGAGGAAGCGGATGAGCATGTCTTTCCACGCAACCCGTATCAATCCCGTTTGTAGTGTGACATCGACGTCGAAGTGCATGCGCCGCCATTCGCATGGGAGATCCAAATCTAGGACCGCATGGTCGAGCCGGATGCACCAGCGCAACGTCCCGAAATATTCTTCCCTGCGACGCAACTGCAGTCGGTCCAAGACACTATACCAGTCTGAGTCCACGTCGAGAATGGCATCGCCATCATGCGCTGCCGCACCGCCTACTTGCCAGAATGCGTCATACCACTCCTCTGCGATCTCAAAAACGGCGTGCGTCGCGCTCCACGCGGGTCGATTTGTCTCCGGATCTGCAGCAGTATCCCACTCGACGTGCGAAAACCCCGCTTCGAGTAAATGGACCGACTCATACTGTTCGTCGTCCAAGTCCACCATGAGTCCAAAATCTCTCGCCCCCATATACCCCACCAGCTCTGTCCTCTGCAGACAGCGGTATAGAACCCGCCCGTCGATCGCATCGCGAAAGCCACGGCAGACTAACCGCCAGTCGAGGATATAGTCCACAGGGACATGTTCGAGAATCTGTAGGAGCAGTTCTGCGGGGAGGTGCGCTAGCGTCCTGTTCGTAGAGGAGGACGATCGGTCTTGGCTCGAGTCGATGGCGGTGATGAGCGCAGCGACATCGTCGGTGGAGAAGCCGAGCTGGATATGCCGGGCGAGATACGAAGGTAGGGGTGCGTTATCATGGTTGTCGTTGCTGGAGGAGGGGGCGTGGATGGGGAGGCCAGCGGGCGCTCTAGCGCGCCCCGGTGACTGCGACATTAAAGTTGATCCCAGGTGTGGAGATGCGGGGATGCGCGATGGTTAGGGGATGGTGTGTGTTTTAGTGTCGGTCCGACTCGGAAGGCACGTGGTGTGTGGCACAGCGCTCCAAGGGATTGCGAGATGTGTACGACGACGCGATTCCGGTGATAGTAACAGCGATGGCATTATTCCTGAGCGCTTACTCCCAATGGGTATATAGATGTGAGTTTCACGATCGGTGACGCGGGTCTTGCCGCTACTCTCACGCTGGCCACCTGGGCATGCTTGCTTGATCACCGCAACACTCCCCCACCACATTCGGGAAATAGTAAACTTCAACATTCTGAAGCCTACATTAGCGTCAGGTCCTCTAGTTCGCCTGTTTTCGTTTACATGTAGGCTGCAGACCTGTTCAGTTTCATCCTGTGAGGTGCCCCGACAGCCCTCAACCCACAACCCGCCCTGGAACGCGCACACGCGCGACATGAGTTAACGATCTCGCATATGTTCGGCAACTCGAAAGTGATCCTTAGACTCCAGAGCGGAGTCAGTGGGTCGGACCTTGGCTACTGATGGTTTAGTCCCAGCGGCTTGCCCAAGTGGGGTACATGTCTGTCCTAGTTGTCAACGCGTATTCCGCAGCATCCTACGGATATGAACAGCCGTTCGACTTCCTACACAGAATGCAGGTGCATGAGGGAAAGCTGTCCCGATGGTGCAGTCATACATCTCAGCATGGCTTCCAGTCGATCTTTCGCTCGCTCAGCGCCTTCTACCCGCCATCCTCATCATACCGACCAACTCCTTGAAACGATTTCAAGATGGCCCCCGCAGTCCGCCGACCCGTACGCGTGGGCGGCGCCTCAGGCGGCTTCTCCGACCGTGTTCGAGCCATTGCATCTCTCGCCAAAGACGACGTCGATGTCATAGTAGGGGACTGGCTCTCCGAAATGACCATGACCATGCATGGCACCGGAAAGCTAAGGAACAAGGAGCAGATGCTGCAAGCTCGCTCATTCGAGGAGAAGCTCAACTATGCCATGTTCGCTGAGAACTTTATGGACTGCTTTACTCCTGCAATACAAGATATAGCTACTCGTGGTATCAAAGTCTGTGTCAATGCTGGTGCATCGGATACGGAGCTACTGGCTAAGCTTGTAGATAAGACGTGTAAGGAAGCTGGGTATTCAATGAAGGTTGCTTGGATCGAGGGTGACGATGTTACGGGTACTGTCAAGAGTATGCTGGATAAAGGCGAGGGGTTCAAGAGCTTGATGCATGATAAGTCGGTACCCGAGTGGGGTCTTGAGCCTGTTTGTGCTCAATGTTATCTTGGTGGTTTGGGTATCGCTAGAGCACTGACGGAAGGGGCTGACATTGTCATCGCTGGTCGTGTCTCGGATGCTTCGCCCATTATTGGTGCCGCTGCATGGTGGCACGAATGGACGAGTTATCAATTCGATGAATTGGCTGGCTCTCTAGTCATTGGTAGGTCGTTTACAATCACATGTGTACGTTGTACTGATATTTCCAGGCCATCTTCTTGAATGTGCCGCGTATGTATCTGGTGGTTACTGCTCCGACTTTCGTAGCCTCCTAGCTCAAGGCAAGCATATTAACATGGGTTTCCCCATCTGCGCCATCGACAACAAAGGCGAGGGCGTAATGTACAAGGAGAAGAATACCGGTGGCTGCATGACAGTCAACTCCGTAACATCTCAGCTTCTCTACGAGATCCAAGGCCCACTATATTACAACTGCGACGTCACCGCAGACCTGACCGACATCAAGATCGAACAAATCGGCAAAGACCAAGTCAAAGTCTCCGGCATCAAAGGACTGCCACCACCCCCAACAACCAAAGTCGGCATCACAGGCTTCGCGGGCTGGCAAGCCGAATACCACATCTACCTTGTTGGCCTGCACATGGAAGAGAAATGCCGATGGATCGAAGAGCAAATCCGGTACGAATTGGGCCCAGAGCTGATCAAGAAGTTCGACGTCCTAAAATTCATGCAAAACGGTTCCTCCGTCATCGACGCTCGCAACCAAGACGTCGCCACGGTCGACTTCCGCGTCTTTGCCCAGTCTCGAGACAGAGAGCTGCTCAACATGCGCAACCCCAAAGGCTTCTTTCGCATCTCCATGGTAAACTTCCTCATGTCGTGTCCGGGGGCGTCACTGGGTAATGACGTGCGGCAAGCAGAGGGGAAACCATACTACGAGTACCATCCCTCGCTTCTTCCGCAGTCAGCCGTCAAACAACGCGTACATTGTATCTGGGAAGGTGAAGCAACCAGCGGGTTCGCGGATGGCAAAAACGTAATCGACATGCCCCTCGCACCTACATTCCGCGAGTACCCGCGCCAACAACCCTCCTACGAAACTACATCACCCATCCCACTCTCCCACTTCGGTCCCACCATCCGCCTCCCCCTCGGCTCCATAGTCCTCGGTCGCTCGGGCGACAAGTGCTCAGATGCCAATGTCGGTTTCTTCGTCCGCCACGCCGATGAATGGGAGTGGTTGCGTAGTTTCCTCACTATCGACAAGGTGAAGGAGTTATTGGGGCCGGAAGAATACAAGGGTAAACCGATTGATCGGTTTGAAATGCGGAATGTCAAGGCGGTGCACTTTTTGTTGCATGATCATTTGGATCGTGGGTATGATGCTTGTAGTACGTATGATACGCTGGGTAAGAATGTTTGTGAGTATTTGAGGGCGAGGAGTGTGGAGTTGCCGGTTAGGTTTGTGGAGAGGGGGGTGCTGTAGATTGTGATAGAATGTAATACACGGTGCTGACATATCATGGTGCTTTCAGCTTGTTGATTGAGAATCGACATATCAAGGCTATGGAAGAATTTTGACTTTGATATGTCGACTCTGTATCGAAACGCTGAAAGCAGCATAAGTGAGAAGAGCGCCATTGCTTTCGATCATAAAGCCAGGACTTGACTATCATGATTTTAGATTTCAGGTATTCTGTATCGATTTGAGCCTAGTCCAGACACATGGTATTCGCCCCTGGCGCTTTTGAAGTTTGAGAGCATCTTCTAAATCTATTTGCTCACATGCAGCAGTCGCGTTGGCTCTTTTGACATGTTTTGAATAGGTGACCGACGCGCTCACCCCATGAAGTAGTCTGACCATCGTTTTTGTGAAGTCGAGAAAGCAATCTTATAATTCGGAGCGATTGTAAAACTGCAGAAGTCACTCAGACTTTGCTCATTAGATCTTGAGTATGATCCTTTTCGAAAGGGCTATACGTTGAGCCGAATTTATCGTCAAGGGAAGCACGAACGCCATAGCCTGCAGGCGCAAGGATTTTTCGTTTGGGGAAGGGAGGCTACAGGAAACATGATATCGGCGCATCTAGTTTTTTGGTAATATGGTAAAAAGGAAAGGCATAGATGCAGGGAGAGAATGTGCCGTGCGAATACAGCATTTGTACAGACCGCAGTGGCCCTAGCTTTTGGATACATCGCCAAATACCGGTATCGCAGCCATGATGGGTGATCTACTTGCTTTAAGTAAAATCGACCCTCTCTTTAACTGGCGGAAGCCCGAGAAGACGCCATGTTTACGACTGTGTTTAGTTTTGTAGTCACATGAAGGAACATCTTGTCGATTCTGGGGTTTTTGATAGTAGGAAAGATTCCACGAGTAGCGGGAAAAGCATGAGAGGTGCTTGTGACGATGCTTGGATATTGGATTGACATCAGAGACTCAACCATGTCTTTTCGGGATTGCATGGACTGTCGTGAGGACTATAAGTACAGTGTTTGCGGAGAACCATTTGTAGTGAACGGGAATGTCTTCGGCAATGCGAGAGGTCTCATGTAAGCTGGTCAGTGTTCATTATTTTTAAGAGAAAGGCGCAGAGCGCAGCACACATCAAATTTCTCATCGCTTTTTTGTTTTTGGAGGCTGCATGCGTAGTGTCTCTGGACGATCATGTGTAGCGACGGCAATATTTTTTGGAACCTCGAGAGGGTCTCATAGTAGCTCTCAAAATTCTTTTGGAAGAAAGGCGCCGAGCGCAGCACACATAAAACTTTCTCATTCCAGTTTTGGTTTTGTGGAGAGAAGAAGTGGTGATGCAGAGACTGGAAAGGAATATGCACAAGGTCTGACTTTATATGAGTGTTTGTGGTGGGGCGCATGTAGTCCTGGCGGGAAACTACATCTACGGGCTGGAGCTGCCGCTCATCATCACCTGTGATGCCTTCAAGAGGACATGACTTCCAAACGATCAGATTCTGTACATGGAGGGATTAATTTTGCAATTTTACTCATGTTCGCTTTCAGGCATGGCGATCGTGCGATGGGGTCAACGGCGCCAGGGCTCAACCAAAAGAGCCTTTGGTAAAGTCATGGAATCGTCGCAAATATGTTTCGTAGTGACAGGTGCCTGATCAATGCCCATACACACAAAGACATCAATACTCGTCAAAGTCGCGAAAGGCACAAAGTAATAAGTCGTGACGACAATATGACGCGCACATGATGCAAGCGAGAAAAGCGCACTGACCTGCACCATCTACACCATCGTCCCTGGATCCTCGTCGACTATTGAAGGCAACGAAAAGTCAACCGAGGTTCGTTTCGAGTCCAAGCCACCAAGCAATCTCCGAAAAGGCTGCTGAGCCACGGCAACCCGTAGGAATGGAGCCCAAGTCACCGGCACGGTTGTCCCCACCCACACATTACTGTACCCACCAACATCGACATCTCAATTCCCATTTGCACGCACAAATCCGATGCCGCCTACCCACTCTTCTCGGCAACGATACCCAGAACCCCTGTCCCGTTGACTCGAGATCGGCACTCGATTCGCACGCGGCTCACTTCGCCGCAGCACCCACTCCACAACACTGAGCATCCTTATATCCGACTACCGCTTTCGGCACGTCTTCGTACCAAGCACCTACTGCAGCGGTACTCAACGCCAGCCAATGTATCTTTGCTGAGAAAGATAATCGTGGTCGACGGGACGCCTAGCGGGTTGTGAAATATGCTGTTTGCGGTAGGTGTAGAAAGTAGGAGGATTGCAGCGGAGAGAAAGACCGAGGATGGGTTTACTGCTTTGGGTAGGAAGGGAGAGGGTGTGGAAATTAGGAGGGGCCCGCGGAGGTTGAGGCCGCTTTTGGCTTGCTGCTTGGAGTAGGAAGAGGGGAGGTGTTGAATGTAGTGAAATCGCGGTGTTTTGCTCCATCCAATGGGTTTGGAGTCCGTCGATGAGCGATGCGGTTCATGTCATGGTCGGTTCAACGCTTTAAGCGATGGACTTGATCATGTATCTTGGCACAATGCTGTTTTGAAGGCCTTGTGTGCTGTCAAGATCATCATGTTGCAAGACGGTTTTGGAAGAAGAGCGCAGCACTCCCATGAAGCGAAGGACATGCTTTTTCGTGATCAAGGCGATGATTAATAATATAGGACAAGAGACATCCTCAAATCGTTTACATGACATGCAAGCAAGCCTTGCACATGAGTTTGCGCATACCAACTTTTTAGAATATCCATGGGAAAAAGTACGCATTGAACTTTCATGTGATATTCGAAGATTTTGAAGGCCCTCGGGCGTAAACAAGATAACACCCTCTGTCCAAAGTCGCGATCATAAATAAGGCCAACAACTACATCACATTTGTATCAAAGACTTTGAAACTCAATAGGCTCTTTGACTTCTGCACTCATGCAACTGTGGTGATGTAAATTCGCTCAAAATCTCATGCATCTGTCGAGTACGGACTTTTGACCACCAGCTCCATCATTCGCCACTGGCGATTTTTGGGAAACAATGAATCATTGGGAAAAGTGGCCCTCCAGGGAGACATTCAACGGCAATTCGGCAGTTTTGAAGTTGAGCGGCAGAACAGAACATAGAACTTGCCATCTGTTGTTTTGGTAAGGTAAGGTGAAAAGTGAAGTTATGGAAGCTCTACCTTCCATCTGCGAGATATTTATATTGTCAGAATACCACTAACGTTAGAGTGGAGTGACGAGTACAGCTTATGGACAAGGCAGAGAACCGAGAGAACACATGGATCCAATCTTGCTAATTTTTGACAAATAGTGCAGCAATCTTCCGCCCGCAGGACTTATCCTAGCCTCGAAATGTCTTTTTGATCTACATAAGAGCAAATATCTCATATGGCTGCCGATTGATGATTTTGGACTTTGGTCGAGCACTGAAGACTACATGATGTTCTCAAAAATGGTACAAGAGATCCGAAAAAGACGGACATGTGTACCCAGCGATCTTGCACTTTTCCCACATACCGCCTGCATTCTTTTTTTTTTCTGCAAAAGCGACATATATTCGATGAATGCGGAGCTTTGGACGTTCTCAGAGAGCAGAGGTCATGAAATCGCCCGTGGCGATTTTGAAATGATGGAAGAAAGGCGAGCTGCCGGGAGACATATCATGGGAGTAGCCGAACTTTGGAACGATCGAGACAGCTCCATAGATCTCGAGGGAATGAATTTTGGAAAGAACCAGGAAATCCGGACATAGTCGTGTTGTCTCGATATTTTTGATAAATGAAAGGTGAGGATATGGAAGAGAAGTTGGAGGACATACATGAGAGGTGGTATTTATACTCGCTAGTCTCGTCCCCTCCTAAGGATTCTGGCTGCGCAGCCGGTGCCGGAGGAGTTGACAGCCATCACATGAATCACAACTTCGCGCTTGCGCCCGCATTCGGCGCGGACGCCTGCTCGATCAAACATCCCGCAAAGAAGTCCGCAACACCATCCAAGTCATCAAGGCTCGTCACTTTGGATGCATCTAGAGCTGGTTAGTATTTCTCTTGCAGTCTCATGATCGCGCATCGACTGCTTACATTGATCAGGTCTCACGATGACGACTGCGCCCACGGCGGGGCTCACACCGTACTTCTCGTAGGCATGTCCGTGACCGGAATTATAGTGGTCGTCGTCGATGAAGGTCTTGTGAAGATCTGTCGCATTGTCAGCGCGATGATAGACAAGATACGAAAAGGCAACACACCGCGTATATTCCACTTCCCGCTCTTTGGCCAGAAGTAGTCGGGTATGCTTTCCTGCTCCGTTTCCGGGAATTTGCTGCTCAACACAAGGAGCGTCTCGATGACGCTGTCGATGTGTTTTTCAGCAGGTGTATATCGGCTTGCGGTTGCTTCGAGTGTTTTTGCCAACTGAACGGTGTTAGAATACGAAGACTATGGAAGCTGGGCGCGCATACTTTGGCCAGTCGCTCGCGATGCTGCGCTTGGTTGACATCCCCCCCAAAGACCACGACGCGCCACCTCCCATCACTCCTCAGTACACTCATCAACTGCACGGCCTTACAGTCGCAAAACCGTATCACCTGCGCGCTTGGAAAGCGCGTCCCCACCGTGACCGCCGTAGCCGCACTCTTCTCCTTCTCCATCCCCTTGGTAATAACGGTGTCTTCGTACCTCGCCGTGAACCCCGCCATATACCGCCCGCTCTTCCGGAAGTAGTCCGCAAACTCGCCTTCGTATCGATCTTTTCTGCTGATCATCTTTGCTAACTCTTTGTCAAAAGCAATGAGGTCAGCTGCCGTCTTACTGCGTTCGGTAACGTATGTCGACAGCAGAGAAGGCGGCGAAAGACCAGACAGCACGGAGCCAAGCTTCCAGCCGATGTTGTACCCATCCTGAAGCGATACGTTCATTCCCTGACCTGCTTTTGGTGAGTGTGTATGACACGCATCGCCCGTCAAAAAGACGCGATTATGCGCATGGAAGACTTCCGCGAGGCGCTGACCGATGCTGTATGCACTCCACCAGAAGACATCTGCAAAGTCCATGGTATATGGCGCAAAGATCCTGCGAGTCTGGTCTTGCAAGTCGGCCAGTTTCACTGTCTTGGGCTGCGTGCCGGCGGGAAGCTGGATGTAGAAACGGACTAGTTGACCACCCTCGCGGGGAATGATGATCAGGTTGCCAGCGGTGCTGTGTATGGTGCATTTGCGGCGGATGTCGGGGAAGGTCGTAAGTGGGTAGATGTCCATGACACCCCAGACGGTATCGGAAGAGTCGCCGAGCATGCGGATGTCGAGGGCTTTGCGGATGGTGGAATGTGCGCCATCGCAGCCTAAGACGTACTTTGCTTCCCAGACATCTTCTTTGCCATCTTTCTCAGCGGTCACTTTGACACAATGCGCGTTTGGGTCGTTCTTTCTCTTCTCGTCGATTTCCACACTCTTAACGGCCCAGCCATACTCGATCCCGTTGCTCGTGCCTTCCTTCCATCTTCCCTGCTCTTTCAAGATGGTCTCCATCTTTCCCAGCATCAGTCCGTTCATGCGCGCTTGATTCAGAATCACATGTGGCAAATGACTCAGGCCCTTCTCCGTATCGATTGATCTGCTCTTCCTCTTGATACCGCCTTGCTCATTGCTATTGCCATCTTCGTCCACGCCCCAGAAGCATACCTCTAAGATATGGTATGCCTCTCGCAACAGATCTTCCGATAGACCAAATGACTCGTAGATCTCTACTGTGCGCACCTGTACGCCATCTGCTTGGCCGATCTTTAGTGGACCAGGACGTCGCTCCAGAATCGTAAATGGGATATTGTAGATTGCTAGCCAAGTTGCTGCGAAGACACCAGCTGAACCGGAACCGGATATGAGAACATCCGTTTTTGGCATCGCGTCAACGTAGTATATCGATTCGTTATCGAATTGCTGGAGTTTGGCGCACTAATGGGTGAGCCAGTAAACGGTAAAGATGAGATGGAAGGCGATTGTATGCGATGATTGCGATAGTGCTACTCCCTAAAGCGACGGTCAATGATACAGTAGCAGCGAAATTTACATCGCGAGATGACAGCATTCCGCGAAGTTATGCCTGCCGAATGAAGCCCCGAGGGTGCATCGGACATGATGCGGGGATGAACATCGACCCGCTCACTAGCGTATCATCAATGCAGCGAATCCGGGGAAGGGGCCGGAGTAAGGTTCTCCCAAACTTCGAGCGGTGAAAGTACATACGACAATCATGTGAAGGCAGTGTTCCAAGGATGTCTTCAGCAATGGTATTCGCAGTGCTTGCCAGATGGAGATGGGATGGGTTGTGCTGCTGCGGCGCTTTCCACGCGTCCCCAAGAAGCCTCGGCTCCGACAAGACCCCATGTAAAGAATACATCAAGACACCCACCTACAGGAACAGGACTGTATATGACCTAGAAGTCTACATCGCCTTGAGATCTTGTCGTAGTTTTATCTCTAAACTAATGTAGACTGTAGGGCACCTGTTCGTTCCCTTCCTTGTATGAGACGACGGTGTGCGCAGGGAGGACTTCGGTCGATTGTAAAGAGTTGGTATTACTATATAAGCGCTAAATATGTCATGATCTCGTCTGCAAAAGGCGGCAAAAGAGCACATTACCCTGTGCTTTTGCAGGTCCTAGTTCCTCCAAATCCGAAAGGCTACCGTTCACAAGCAGTAGTACAGTGCTGAAGCATTTTGCCGAAACTGATATGCGCCATAAACTCCACCCAATGCCGTAAAATGGTATGCGCAAAACAAGTATCATCGAAAGTAAAACAAAGCGGGATGTTGTCGTGAGCCTAGTGGCCGACGGCGGAGTAGTGCGAATTGCGCGTGTACGGTTGTTGGTATAGCGATGGTGCGTCGTAGTCGGAGTCCTGGTACATGGTGCCACGCTTTTGGTCTTCCTCGAGGAAAGGCTCCTTGACCTCCCAGTTGTGTTGCTTGACGCCGACGGAGAATTCGAGATCTTCGCGAGTGATGGAGTCCCAGTACTGGAAGTTGTCAGCGTTGTTCGATTGGATGATGTTAGTGATAAGCGTACCTTGTAGACCATCATGACAGCAAGCAGGTTGCAAATAGTTGCGAAGAAGAGGCCGTCGATGTAGTGTTGGACCTGGTCGCAGATGGTGTCGCTGAAGACGTATAGAATGACCTGGCCGATGACAAAGAAGAAGATGCCGAAGGAGATATCACCAAGTGGCCAGCGGTCCTCCAATGTTCCAACAACCAAGATGATCTGGCTGACGGTGTATACGAAGAGGCAGATGGCGTTGACGATGTAGGTAACGACAAAGATGCCGACGGGGTTGCCGGGTTCCAGTCCAGCCCAGCCCTTGAATGTCAGGAGGTTCACGGCACCGCCGACGATGAACATGGCCAGCGAAGAGAGGCGTAGGAGCCAGACGGAGAGTGTAGTGCCATCCTCGTAAAGTTGGAAGCCGACGAAGCCGTTGATGAGCAGACAGGTGCATAGCGCGGAGACGAGGCCATTCTGGGCGGCGGCGAAGTACGGGTAGGCGGCAGAACCAGGAGCAGCGACACCGGCGTCGAGGACGAGCGATATGATGGTCAAAAGGAGGTAGATGTAGAAGAAGGATGTGATTTCCTTGCGGCCTGCTGTGCATTAGTGAACTGCCCCGGCTATAGACGGCAATGCGCAAACGTACCGACAGCTGTGAACTTGGAGCGCACATGGATAATCATGACGACGGTCATAATCATGGCCAAAATGTGCATAAAGTCATTCGCCGCCTCGAAAATGAGGGTATTCGCAATCTCAATGGTGCGCGCATAGCACTCTGTCTGGATGCCCACGCCATCGTTGATCTCCTGGTGGCCGACAAGCGCGCATAGTGGTATCGGTGCCTTTTCGCATATCGTCTGGAAGTCGCCGAAGCCCATGATGGCGGATTGCGAAACGTGTGGTGTCGCTCGGGTTGCGGCGGGTCTGGCGCGGTGTACGGCGGTTGCTTGGTGTGGATGACGGTAAGTGAGTGAAGTGTGATAGCGGAGGAAGGTGCGGACGATTAGCGAGTGAATGTCCGCAAGGTAAACAGAAACGAGAGAAAGCGCGGTGGGGTGCGACGAGGGTCAGGGATACTATGGGGGCGGTTGTCAGGAGTGAATGCGCACTGTTGACACTTCCCGAGCCGCACTAGGCCCACCCTGCAGGTCGTATCCACATCCAGGCTAGTCCGTGCTATTTGCGTCTCCACGATTTTCTCCGGGCAACGAAACGATACAACCTCGTGATGCCGCCACTCGCACTAAAGTCGCGATCCTCCTCTTTTGTTAACGTCCTTGTGGAAGAAAATCGTCCCTGTCCATAACATACTATGTCCATAAAAGACACCGCAGCGGCTCGTAGTGGCACATAAGAGAGCATGCTCGAGCACCAATTTCGGGAAAACTTGGCCCTTGGTGAAGTAGATAACATAGATGTCTACATTGCCTCAGGGTTCTGTCATCTGTTGGCTTTATCGCTAATGTAGGTTGCAGAGCACGCGATTTGTGCATATGTGGTTTTAGAGCGACAAGACACATCGACAAACCCGCCTGATGGGAGCTGGTACTTGGAAACTAGATTCCTTGCGCCGCTCGGGTCCTAGGGCAATGCACCTCGTTCAAGGAAAAGTATGGACGCCCTAGAGCCTACTTTGACGTTGAGTTACATGCTTTGCATCTTTTCAGGTTAATGTAGGCTCCACGGTGTTCACGTTCTTTGTTGAGTGAGGTGAATCTGTAAAACCGTGTTCTGTCGGAACAGGCGTCAACATCCTGCTAAAACCACATTGTATAGCTTAACCTCTGGTATTTGCACCGAGACGAGATGGTAGCCTTCCGTGATTGGGATGTCACTATGGAAGTCCCGCACGGTCAGGCAGTCGTCAGATATGAGCAAGTCTCTTTCACTCACATTCCACTCTCACTTTGCACCCGAAATCTCTTCTCGACGAGCGCGACCCCAAACCATCGACTTCACTAGCAATCACCGCCCACTTCTGCTTCCTTCGACCGCTTGCCCTGATGATCTGAGAGCTTCCAAGTCCTGAGTCGCCGCTCTTAACAGCCGACGTCCTCTACCAAGAACAAGTTCCGTCTCAACTTCATATCACACACGATGGCCGACTATCCTCCTGATTTCTCCCGCACCGCCAACGACGCAGTGTCGCGACTGCACGACTACCAGGCGCAGAATCCTCTTCGCGTCACGACTGGACCAAGGGGCTACTCAACTTCTCCGTCGCCCGGTCTAGCCTCCCCGTCCATGTCTCCAACCACGTCCGTACGCCAGCTATCACCGCCTTCCCCGAGGGTTCCCAGCTTCCAGCCTTCGCGTATGGCTATACCACCGACCGCGTACGCTCCTTCCCACACCACCGCGCAGCATGCTCCGCCGAAAGCTCCCCTGCCCATCATTGGTACGCAGTCGAAGTCCCCTTCCCCGCCGTATGCTTCGCCAACAGGTCACATACCCATCATCGGTACACAGTCGAAGTCGCCATCCCCGCCGTACGCTCCGCCGACAGGCCACATGCCCGTCATTGGTACGCAGTCAAAGTCGCCATCCCCAGAGCCATCACCAGGACCGTATGTGCCGCAGATCTATCGCGAGCCGCTTGAGCGTCTCACTCGCGAGATGCTCTACGATCGCATATATCTGGTCCTCCGAGATATCTTGGCTATCTGGTGGGCGGAGAATCCGGACGCAATGCATCGTCTAGTCTGTAAGTTCTCTTTTCCGCTGCACCACATAGTTTCTCCTCCGCTGACTTAGGATACTTCCAGACTATCTGTCCGACTATGTCATCAATCTTGGTGTCCACGGTATCTTCGGTCCTAATGGTATACAGTCACTCTGGCAACTCTGCATGTTCATAGGACATGAGGGTAGACGTAGCTACATGTGTTTGGCCGTCCATCCGGAACGCGGCCGCACTGGGGCCCCCACGATCGTTCTCAAGGGCGACCTCTGCGAGAAGGAGGGGAATGACCCGTTGGTAGACGAGGAGGTCTACGGATTGGCCAAGGACGGTTTTGAGAAGGCCGCTCTGGGGTTGCATGCAATGATCCTCGCCAAATCTCCAAACATTTAGCGGTGGGAAAAGTGTGTTGGGGCGGTTGGTGCTCCTCAGACAAGGAAGAACCTGAAGAGACTGAAGAAGTGTGCAACCTACGATAGGACAATGAGAAGCAAATGGCAAGCGTAGCGTGGATGTAGGCTCCGCGCGGCGACATCTTGTAAGCTACCTAGGTATCTTAGGTAGTTTCGACTCAGTAGCTGGCATGGGAGCGCGCGGGCATGTACATAGCTGTATATAAGCACAGGCACATATCCCGTCGATCAAAAGATACAATGCCTCATCTGGATGCTGCACTCTTCGCTATACCAGTCGTTGCGCGCCTGATCTGCAACGTCGACGGAAGTCAACATAGGGAAAATCTGAACAGGCCTGCAGCCTACATCAACATAAAAGCATACAAAACAGGTGGCCTGGCGTCGATGTAGGCTCTAGACCTGTTCGGGTTTTTTCTTGTATGAGGTGGTCGGACATCTGCGGGTTCGACATCTCACGATTGGTCGGCTCGTAAAAGCACGTGATGCTTTCCGGGCGCTGATGTCATGATTGGCCGTCTTCCATCCGCCACACTCGCACCTTCGTCGCGTGTCCTATCCGACTATACTCACGCGTCTCCATCATGCAGTCACGCCGTACTCTTACCGCCATCTCTGGCCTGCATCCAGGATGTCTTCGACGAGCGAGGCGTCTTTCCAAGCCCGCAGACGGGCTCCAAAAGTGAAGACAGGCTGCAAGACGTGCAAGTACGCAGCGGACACCTTTGCATGTGACAAAAGGCTGACACATCGATACCAGAGTGCGACGCGTCAAATGTGATGAGAAGAAGCCAGAATGCCTCAAGTAAGCATTGACTCCCCGTTCTCGCGGATCATTCCGTGAGCTAATGCTGTTAGGTGTGTGCGTACTGGCCGCAAATGCGATGGTTACACTACAAACGACGCGAAGTTCCAAGTTCATGTCTGGACTCATGGACGAGCCTCCGATCCGCAGAACGCCATCTCTGCCTTCAGTGGCCTTGGAGATAGTGCACGCTATCTGGACTTCTACTATCATTGCGCCTGCCCTGCACTCTCCACCAACTTCGACAAAGAATTTTGGTCCCGTATCGTACTGCAGATGGCCCACTCGGAACCGGCCGTGCGCCATGCCGTGATAGCTCTGGGAGCTCTTTGCCAAACTGAGCCTGGAGATATGAAGCATGCATGTGCGGGCTTCATTGCCAATCACGAGCGCAAGGTCATGTTATCTCATTACAACAAGTCCATTGGCTGCTTAGTCAATCGAATGAGCGATGCCACTTACTCGCCGGAGCTTGGACTCGTTATCTGTCTTCTTTTCGTCTGCATTGAGTTCCTCCAAGGCAACTACCATGCCGCCTTCACCCATTTGAGGAACGGCTTCAAACTAATGTACGCGCCCCGCATGGCACTACCGAACTATCGGGGCTCATTACAAACCACGTATCCCCCAAAGGTAGCATTGGACGGGTCCGGACCTTCGAGAAGCTCAACAGAAGACAAGTTGATGTCCATCTTCACCCGCGGCATGGCGCAAGCTTTGCTCTATGGCGCCAGAATTCAGGAAGATTTGGAGATATTGCAAGTGATGCCTGCTTCGTACTCCAAGCGCTCATTTGCGAGTCTCTCCGAGGCGCACCAGGCCTACTTCGAGCTTCGCAATGCATCTATAACTCATCTGTATATTATGGGAAGAAGATCACTCGTTCGGCAGGATCCTAGTCTTGAACTGTATCGAGAACGCGACAATCTGTTGGCGTGCCATCATCTCTGGTACGAGAACATGCAGCGCTTCGAGAAGTATCATGCGCTCTCGAACGATGAATTAATGGCTGCGAACGCCCTCAAGGTTTCGTATCACACGACGTTTGTTTACGTATCATGCTCAGCAACAGTCATCGAGAAGACATACGACAACTATCTAGATCACTTCAAGAAGATCCTGCATCATGCCCAAGCAATCATCGACTCGAGGCCGCCCACGAACCCCAACACCGCTCACTTTACTTTCGACATTGCGATAATTCCTCAGCTCTATTTTGTCGCAACTCGATGCCGCTGTCCCGTTACCCGACGAAAGGCAGTAGCGCTTCTAGAACGTAACCCACCACGCGAGGGCCTTTGGGATGCGGGGCAACATGTGGCGGTGTCCAAACGAGCGATCGAATTGGAAGAGGCCCAAGTAGACCAAACCACCGGCTGGCCGGTAGAAGAAGCGAGATTATGGAATTGCATAATCAAGGCTGGGATGGACGAAAAGGGTGGCTTCTCTGCGACATTTCTACCAGCCGCATGGATTGGGGACCTTGATGCGAACGGGAATCAGAAGATGATTCGCGAGTTCTTCGTTCTGTGAGTGTGGCGCGCCACTGCATGTGGGTTTTACGGACTATGCCAAACGTCCAGAAGGGGGTCTCCACTGGCACGGTGACATCGCCTTCATGCCGCGAGATGATACCGCTACAATTGGTAAAGTTCTATCTTCCATTGTGACAGCAGCAAACGATCAACAAGCCGGATACATGAGTAAAGCATCAGATCAAGCACCGCGCCGACCACATAAAAGCCTGGTCCCGCCGAAACATAACTCGCAAATATCTACACTCCAATCCAACAAGTACAACTTCCAAACATGACTTTCAACCCAGTACGACACGCTTTCCAGACGATGCTAGCGGACCAGAAGTACCGTGGTCTCCCGCTTCTCACCGCTTCAGACTACACACCTTTCCTCAGTAAGTCTAACCCTCTTCAACATGCTGATTGATTTGCTAACACATTACAGAGGCCATTGAAGCTCTCCTCGCGAACCCAACCTTCATGCACGACCATGCCTGGCAGACAGAATCACTCGAGCATTCCATCAGTCGCCCAGCCTTCAGCGCCAAGAACCGTGACGATTGCAACAACAAGTTGGATATTCGACGATACGAGGGCGCGGAGAAGGACTCTCGTGGAGCGACGGTATTTGAGGGCAGTGTTGTTCTTATTGTCGTTGATGGGTATGTGATGGCCAAGGGAAGAAGTACCTCCTCGCCGACAGATGCGCTGCTCGATGTGTTTCAGAAGGTTGTTACTTTGGCACGAGAGTATGAGTGATGTGGCTCATGGCGATCATTGAGGTTATGTTCATGGCTTGTCTGTATTACTAGTGCCCTGTGCTTCACCTCTTGGCCGCGGCGGATTGTTGCTGGCGGCCATTTGTTCTATCATAATGTATACTAGGCTTGTACCAAACTATCAACGGTACCATTCAATCATCCAAGGCTGCCTGACTCTGAGTGATGCTTGTCGAGACATTGTGGATATGCAGCTCGATTGCTCGAAGCCGCTTTCGCAAACATGCGGGAAGGTATGATCAGCCAAGCTATCTTGCGCCGCCACAAGTGGTAGCCAGACTTCGTGTCGCATCCTATAGAACCGTGTTTAATGTACAGGTATACATTACCTTAAGAGGTAGCTACTGATAAGACTGTGTTTAAAGTAGAGACATACATTACCTTAACAGGTAGCTACTGATCATGACTTAGCGACATGTATGCAGCAACATGCGACACGTGTCTAGCCACCTCTCATGCTGCGAATGGGTAGCAAGCCAAAACGTCGCCCACATCGCTGAAGAAGTTTGATATCAAACGCATGTACCATATAAGATGCTGTTTCATGGCCAGTCCGTAACTTCTTCCACGTAAAGAACACATCAAGACTACTGTAATCATGGACGAAAAGAAATGCGACCCGAACTTCAAGAACCAGGTAGAATACGTCATAACGGACAAGAAGCTAGGAGTCTTCACTTCTACGGAGTACCAGCCTTGGTGTAGTAAGTGCCACCTTTTCCATCGGAAGTGATTGACTAACATAAGTCAAGAGGACATCATCTATCTTCTCGACGTGGGAAGAAAACATCTACGAAACTACACGTGGGAGGGCCCGCAAAATGACAAAGACGTAGAACTCCATTCCGGTGCAACGACCCTCGTTGACGGCGGCGACTCTAACGATTCACTTGACAGTATGGCGCGGTCTTTTGATTACCCACCTGGATTCGATGCGTCAACGATAGAGGGTCAAAAGTCTCTCTCAGTCAATATCGCGTGGGAATTGGAACCGGAATCCTGGATTCCTGGTGCGGTCCGTTGGGAGGGTCATGTTGCGCGCTTCTTGGTTGGCGAGTGGACGCTGGCGAAGGGTAAGTCGGACGTGAGTGAGAGGGAGGCAATGATAGCGCTCTTTGACAGGGTGCATATGCTGGCGGAGAGGTTTCGTGAGATGGATGAGGAGAAGCGTAAGAAGGATGAGGCGGAGCGTGCAAAGAACGAGGAAGAGCGTATAGCGAGGGAGAAGGAGGCTGGAGAGGCTGTTGTCGAGTAGCGGAAGCCCCATAATGACGACTCCGTGGGTTCGATATGTGGTGGCAGGATGTAATAAGTCTCCGTATAGCGCTTGCCGTGGGCACCTTGCCGATGGCGGTAGCTACCAGCCCACTCTAGCCAATTATCAGGTCGTCGAGCAGATAGCATTCCTAGATTGGTACCTCATCCAACGGAAACCTAAAACTCTAGAGCCTTCATTAACGTTGGGTCATCTACCTTGCATGTTTTCATCGTGATGTAGTCCGCAGGCCTTTTCGGTCGTCGCCTTCACTTTGAACGATCGACAGGCCCATGATGACTAACCACTGCGCACGAGGACTGTTATGGGTTGACGAGTGAGAGAAAGTCAGTCCGCGGTCTAAGGCAATAAAATCACTAAGTATGGCTCGACTTATATTCCCTATCGCGGGAGTCTCACCATTCACAACCTTGTGACCTCTCACGCAGCGCGACCTTCGGGACAGATACAACACGGCCTAAAGACCACCAGCAACCCGTCTTTTGAACCGCCACACAACCGACAAGAGCGATGAAGCTAAGGCTCCGTCTTGGGCCGCCCAAAGACAGGCTGCGCAGTCATCTGCAAAGCTCATTCGACGACTCTTTGGGCAAATTACCGTCG